ATTGAGAGTTGGACAATATCGGATATCGGCAGAAAAGCCAATATCGAGCATCCCTAATTATAACCTTCATTTTTATAGCATTTGATGAATATATTTTTACTATATAACAAGGTTTCAGCAGACTAAGCAGAGGCAGTGTGCTGAGTGACAGAATAGGAGATGTGGATGAGTGGTAAAGTGCAGCTGCCACCTGCAACACTTTAACGCTGATCAATACTGATCAAAATGTTCTCCATAGTGTCCACACTGCTGTCAGTAGATTTTTGTATTTCTCTGTAACATTTTCAACAGAATTTTTGGGGGTCCAGAAGAAAAAATTACTGGATTTTCTTGATTGTACACACATTCATCTGTCTGTCATCCACTCATGATTGTCTCTCTGCACCTTCAAAGGGAGTGAATCCACTGCAGCACTGCGGGAGCCCTAGAGACTCTCCTCTCCTGGGTGTCATTAATGTATTTTTCACGTTGGCGCTGCTGCTGATGACTGTTCCTCTGCCTCACTGTGGGTCAACTGCCCTATGGTTTAGAACAGGAGCCATTAGCCACACCTTGGTCAGCATTTTCTCTCAGAAAACGGGTTCGGCAGAAGGACAGGAGCGAAAGGGATGCTTACATATGAGGGGAAGGCTCTTGCACACTGTGAACTAAATAACACTACCCAAGGGTAGAGTTTCACATAGCATGATCGGTTTGAGAGGAGCAAAGGGGGGGTGAGGAGAAAGAATGTTATATGTGGGCTTGTTACTTTAGTCGTCTGTGCTCTTTGTGGCTTTGATGTTATTCATTTGTTCATGGTGGTTTCGGTGTGAACTTCCTCTGAACAGAGGCTGATCTGTGCCTTTGTTTGTTGATGTTTGTGTATCTGTCTGTCATAATTTGCAGCGCACACAGTTTGCCTGCAACTCACATTGCTTATGGGAAAATGAAACGAGACATAAATCTGAAACCCGCAGACTGTTAGAATATCAGTGACATGCAGTGCAGAGATCTTCATCATTTCAGACACACTGTGTAAGAATATTCTTCATGGAGCAGTGCTTTAGCCAATTACTGCTTCCCCGCTGTCCTGGTTGTGTGTACAGCAGATCGATGAGGTAGCCAGGATACTGAACATATAGAGTATATAGGAAGAGCACATTGTACCTTATTGTACTGTTGATGCCTGTAGCAGATTATGTCAGCTGCAGTATGGAGCCTTTGTTCGGATAACCAGAGTCAGGGGAGAGAGTGAGGTGACATCAATGAGTTGCTGTTAATGCAACAACGTTACAAAGATATCAAGCCAGTTCTCGGATATTCTGACCTCCAGGCTCAGAGAAGTCTGCTTAAGATGTCCAGTTTCACATGAAGATCATTATTATCCAGATATACTTGCCTTTAGGTGGGATTTTTAATCTATCAGGGTGGACACATTTCTGCTCCTATTACAAATCATTTCTATTTCCTGTTGTTCTCATGTGTATGTGCTATCTATTTATATAGTTCTTGGCTGTAAGCATTGTTGTTTCCCAGTATTTGGGTAATACAAATGCAGCTTTTGCAGTCTTAAACAAATCACTATTTGCGTCCGTGCTCAACTATAATGAACTGACTTGAATTACATGAGTATAAATGAACAATGCAAGAAATATAATGAAAGTAAACATGAACACAAAGGTGAGAACACATTGCATGAAGTTCAGAATACAATTAAACCTTTTTCACAGCAGCCATTTTGACCTGAAATAGTAGGTTAAACAAAGGTGGCTGCTCACAATGGCTGCTTCCATTCAGTTAAATATATCAGGAAATGCATAAAAATGTATGAACGTGATGTCAGTTATGATGCCTATTTTGTTTCCAGGGTTTATAATAATGAATTATAGTTAGTGCAGATTTCTGCTTATCTCTTGGTGAGCTCTTGTGTGTGTTTCCTCTTTGCCCTCCAGACATCATAGTGCTGATAGCGTCAGTGGCGGTGGTGTCGGCCGGTAGCCAGGGCAACATCTTTGCCACCTCGGTCCTGCGGAGCCTGCGTTTCCTGCAGATCCTACGCATGGTGCGGATGGACCGAAGAGGAGGCACCTGGAAGCTTCTGGGCTCTGTGGTCTACGCACACAGCAAGGTGGGCTGCCACAGATGAATGGCCAATGCACACACACTAGCTAGCTACAGAACAACATCCCTGGGAAATGACAAAGTTTCTTGCTGATGCTTGCTTGTATGCATGAGCTTTTAGGGGTCTAAGAAAATATCAAAAAACATTTTATCGTGACATTTTGTTTTGAGTTTTGTGTTTAAACCCCCAACCACTAGATAGCAGTAATGTAAATTTAAACTGAGGAGTAAGATGTTGGTTGTGACGGGGACTGTGATAAATACAAATGCAATTATTTTTCTCTAAAACTAGATTTTTTTTAAACCCTGTAATGTGATACGTATTGTATCATATCAGCTCTAGTGAGGTTGTGACATCCAGTGTAGTAGTAGTACAGTATGGATTTATGCAGATTGATAGGTTGATCCTTACATGAGTTCTGAGATCAAATGTCAGTGATCAGTCAAGAAGCCCCAACTAGGGTTGCACAATTAATAAAAAAATCAAAATCGCAAGATGACCAAGTGCAATATACAAATTGCAGAAGAGCTGTAAACAGCATTTTAATGAAGTACTGTAGTGCTGCAGAGGTGCCCTGGTCTACAAATCTTGTTACCCAGATTTAAGGAAACATGTTTGTTTGGTACAGACCCCCCAAAACATTTTTTTTTTTAAATGTACATTTGTGATCCAAAAATGGTAATTCCCACATAATCGTGAATCATAACACAAAATCTGTCAAAATGATTGCATTTTGATGTTTTTACCATATTGTGCAGCCCTAGCCCCGACCTGCATTTTGTCAAATCACTGGCCTTTTTTGGTCATTGTACACAGAGCAACACAGGACAACGGCATGGGGGTATAAACTATAAACCGAGTCTTGTCTCAAAATCAAATCACACTGTTCATGTAAAAGGTAGCGCTTTGTGTTGAGGTGTTGATTCAACTCTATAGTCATTTTTTAAGTGGTAGTTAGGGGTGGTGTCGTAATAAGGTGTATTGTATAGTGAAGTGTTTGTAATATTCTGTCCGCCTAAAATATATAAAATGAACAACACATTATAAATCTTTCCATATAATGTATACTATACATTAGACAGGTCAGCAAGCTTTACTATCAAAATAGCCCAAAACATATTTGATCATTTCTCTCTGCAAATCAAGTGTACCACTAAGCCAGCAGCGCTGGTGGTAAAAGCAAACAAATTGGTCCATGTACTCGGACGAGTGTGTGGTAGGAGGAACTACTGTGAGTAATGGTTACACATTTTTTACAACTGGACAATATAAGAATTATTTTAGTCACTGGCTGAAAGTATTCATGTAGTGTTAAATTAGATTACATTTTTATTGCCAAATGTACAATACGATACAATTTACTATAGAAACGTAATGAAACAAATGATATGGTTCTAGAACTTGAAGACTGTGTTGGTGTTGAAATAGTCCAGCTTTTACTCTCTGACTTACTCTTTTCAGGCTTTTCTACCTCAGCTCACTCTCATCTCTCTGTGCTCCTCCTCGACCAACCCACACAGTTCCACCAACTTCTTTTTACAGCATGACCCCCATAGATGCAGAGGCCAGGACAGGTCATTGTTGCTGACGTAGCTCTTCTTTACTTGGAACCAAGCTGCACATTCAAGCTGAATAATCCACATCACATTTTAAATGAATGTCAAAGGTCTACGTACTGTATGAAGCAAGGATGTGTTTCCTAAGGTCTTTTCTGAAAGGGTTTTGGGGCCACTGTAGATGATTAATGAACATCTCTGGCCAGGCCAATTGTTTCTAGTGCATTATGGGTGAAAAATTACCACAAAAGAACAATTATGCAGCCTAAAGTAAAATTAAATGTCATCACACACAGCTGAATCGGCTTAAACAGTTGGTTCACCCAAATTACAAATACATACTTTCTCAGCTCTGGTGATATGTTGCCATGCAGATAGCCCAGGTCTTGAGATATCTGTCTCAGAAAGATTTGCCTCCTTTTCAATATAATGTTGATGAGCAGAATATCACCTGTGGTGCTACAAGAATACTGTCTACAGTTTGCAAAGGGACTATTTCTTACTGTTTTCATCTTGCAGTGGAAACTAATGGTCAACATCAGCTACAGTGGTAAGTGGTACTGATAGCAAAACAACAGAGCTGGGCACCAAAACCCAGCCTGTTCTATGTTTGTAAAGGTCTGATACTGAACTGGTACTGTCAAGTTTCAGACCTGAACCTGACTTGTCTACCTGTCATTGCACACTAGCTAAATCAGATACAAAGCATCTTTTCTCTTTGTAGGAGATAATTGTTTTTGTGCATCGTCTTTGACAAATAAACATAGTGAACTAATAAAACCAGCCTGAGGATATATTTTCTATTTTTTTTTCATCCATTACAGCACATTAGCTGGCCAGGCTAATGCACACATTGGGTACTCTCTGTATCCTTCAATCTTCCCACTGGGGATTGTGTTATCTACCTGAACACATGACACACATGACACAATCAGAGTGAGAAAGAGAGACATTTTTTTAATGAATCACATTTGAAAATAACCAAACCCACACATAGCTAAATGTCCTGGACCCAGGACAGAACTCTGTTCTGGATCTGGTTCACACTAATGATTTATGTTTTTAACGTTATGTGCTCCTGTGACAACACATTATGTAATAAAACGCCAAAATGTAATACACTTCACTTCATTATGTAATAACACCAACATCTGCCGCATTTTGTAATAAACAGCTGGAACCCAAAATGTAATACATTTCTTATTTCTCTTTTATTATATATTATGGTAGCTTTTACAAAATTTGTGATTTGCACTTTTTATAAACTTTTTTTATGAGCGTTTTTTGAAGCAGTTTTGATTGTCTTTTTGGGGAGCAGCAGTCGGCATTTGACATGAAGTCCCTGAGTTTGTATAAGAGAGATATTAATTCATTTTAATATTTGGGAAGTTGAATTTAGTTTGATTGTTAAAAATATAGTGTGTACAGATGAAGACATCTACTTTTGGCTTTTGGTTGGTTATATATAATGCACCATATTATTACATTTTCATCTTGTAATAAATAATTTATTACAAAACGCGGGGAAATCTATTTCATATTGCATTCATGCTGTTTATTATAAAATGCAGTGTTGAAGTGAAAATGTATTACATTTTGGCGCGTTATTACTTTAAGCATGATTCACTCCTGACATCATCTAGGTAGATAGTAGAATAGGTACAATATTCATCTACATCAGAATTGACTATTTGGCCTGCTGGAGCTAGCATTAATAATTAATTATGTATTAAGGTCTATGAAACACTCTCACCCTATTGTAAAAGCACAAGGGATAGTACCTGCGTGTTATAAAATAATTACCAGTGATTTAAGTGTACTTAGATTCAATAAAGGGTCATCAGTTTCCCTTGTATCACCTGATCATTCTATTACATAGAAAGTTTTGTCCCTAAAGTTCATATAAAAGCAGATTAAGGTTGATCAGCAGTGAGTGTTCATTATGCTAAAGTGGTTGTGCTTCTTTTCCCATGATTACACTCTGAAAGTCGGTTTTGACCTCTGCCTGCAGGAGCTGGTAACCGCCTGGTACATCGGCTTCTTGGTTCTCATCTTCTCTTCATTCCTCGTCTACCTTGTGGAGAACAAGTTCAACAAGGAGTTTGCTACCTATGCTGATGCTTTGTGGTGGGGAACGGTGAGTTTGGAGGAATATCTGTAGCTCTCCCTGCCAGGATTCAGAAAAAACTCACAATCAAAAACTATGACTTTAACAGATGTTTTAATTCCCACCAGTTCACCTCCAATATCTGTAGCTATCTGTAGGATTTCTTGGACTCTTAGGTTGACTTTTTTCACAGGTTTCTTGGGCAACAAGTGTTCTGCATTGGACGCTGGAAATCGTCTAATATTATCTGCTGTTCGGTTTGTCATTGCTTCCAAGCATTGACAGTTCCTCAATAAGCATTAGCCCTGCACGGCTCCATTAACCACCATTTTCATACTGGCTCAAGAAATCATAATAGTACCAAATGGCTTCAGCCACTTTTGTCATGCAAGGGAATCAGAGCCTGAATGAAAGACATTCAAAAGAGATTACTCTGCCAAAACAGAGCGATAGATAGATGATGTATTTATAGGTAGACAGGTAAAACAGATTGACAGACTGAATGCAAGCAGAGTATTTTAAGCAGTGATTCCAGTTCACAGCCAGGTCTATTTACTCCTGTCATTAAATAGTGAATACACTGCATTAAATGCTCCTTTTCATGCTTTTACTGAACACATGTGAATAGCTCTATTCAGTACCACCACTATGAATCATTATCACAATTAACTCTGTTTATTCTTTTATTAAAACACCATCCGCTGGCTCCTTCTTTCATCTGACTTTCATCAATTCATTTTAGTCAGTCAGGGATGTAATATTGTCAAAATGGCCTCTCATTGTGTCTTCACAGATCATCATTATAAACTTATGTATGTATTCATACATAAAGAACAACAAAAACACTGTGCTTTTTTTTTTACAGAGGCAAAATAAGCATTTCCATCAGTGAACCAAGGCCATATAGACCTGCTCCTGTAAAACCTCCACACAGGTCTAATCACTCAGATGTGATTACGCTGCCTGAAGGCATCATTTCAACTCAAGCATTATGCAAAAGAAAAAACAAAACACATTTAACTCAAACTAGTCAAAGGAAAATAAAGGCAGATACTGAAAATATTCGGTTAATTTAGAGCAGTCCTAAATCATCTGTGTTATTCAAAAAGAAAACTGCCTCGTTAAGTGCAGCCCACTTAGATACATGCTGTGTAACCAGCGAAGGATTTTCAGCCAAATGTGATACATGTGAATCTTAATGTTTTTTTTTTCTTTTCTTTTTGTTAAATAACAACAACAAATTAATCCAAATCACACATACACACCACAAAAATCATTCACCCTGATGGAGCCATGTGGGTCATTCCTTGATGTTGAGATTTTTAAATATGTCTATGGGAACTTTTAATCAGAGAAATGGTTTTGTGATATTTATGTGCTGAGGTTGATGTTATTTTTATTCTAGACAAAAAATTCTCTCGTCTGTATAAATTGCCAGAGCCTCAATAATGAGCATCCTTTAGGACCGGATGATAAGTGATTTGGTTTCACAGATCACCCTGACAACCATTGGCTATGGGGACAAGACACCAAAGACGTGGACAGGACGCATGCTGTCTGCAGGGTTTGCCCTCCTGGGCATCTCGTTCTTTGCATTGCCAGCAGTAAGTCTGTGTTCCTTTGTCCTTTAAATGTCAGAGAGTAGGCAGATTTTCCAGGGTTATTCTGACATATCACTTTACCACGCCTTACTTGTTTGTTTGTAATTTGATTTGATATGTTTTGTCTATTATTTAATTGCAAGCCTATGAGGTTTACCTGAGGGGACTATTTACTTTGATTTCATTGATTGAAATTCTAGCACTTTCCACAGAAGGGCTTTTGATGAGACTTGAAGTGACTAAACTGAATTTGTAGAATTCTTACTTTATTTAAAGGCCACCTGTGCATTTTTTTTGTCTTTGGTGGCTCTGTGGTGCAATGTTTTGATCAGCACAATGATGATATACTGTACTTTCCTATACATGCATCCAGTATTTATTCCTATTAATGTCATACCAGGGTATTCTGGGCTCAGGCTTTGCCCTGAAGGTCCAGGAGCAGCACAGACAGAAGCACTTTGAGAAAAGGAGAAACCCGGCCGCATACCTCATCCAGGTAAAGTATCCAGCCTGCTCTTTTTCTGGTTCTCTGACACACATGACACATGGAAAATAAAAACATAATTCTTATGATTTTGTCCTGTTATTCGAAACTATACACCACAGCGTATTAGTGAACTGACTGTCTGCATAATATAAAATGTGTTTAACAGCCCTAAATGATTTCATCATTCTCCAGTTTCTCTTTTTCCTCCGTGGATTCTACAAAACCCTACAACTGCCCAATCAATAGCATGTACCTTTACTCTGCCTAGCCCTGTACCCCTCATCCTCACTCTGCAGTAAACTCTCTAATCTCTGGAAAGTTTTTTTTTGCCCCTTCTAGATTCTATTGTGTTTAAGCACAGAAACACCAGTTTGGCAAAGCCATTCTTGCCATCCCCCTCTTGTCTGTTTCACACATTTCCTTCTTCTCCAGCCAGATCTTCACACATGCCTTTTTATTTCATCCTGAATATGAGTGCTGCTGACCTCACTTTGTCCTCCTCATATATTTCTCCATACGCTTCCCTCTCTTCCTCTGATCTCTCACCTACTTTCCTCCCACATGCCTCTCAATTTTCTTCCTCTTTGGCTTCCCCGAATCTTTCTCTGATTTTATAATCCCATCCCTCCCTTTCCTGACTTCCACCCCCTCTTGTGTCCTCCTCCTCTTCATCCTGTTCGTCCCCATGTTGTACCAGGCTGCGTGGCGTTATTACTCCACCGACAGCACCAGGCCCTACCTGGACGCCACGTGGCGGCACTATGAGAGCCTCCTGCCTTCCCACAGGCATGTATCCATGCCTGACCTCCGCCCAGCCAGACGTGTGACACACCTGTTTTTTGGTTTCACTAATCAGCTTTTTATTTGTTTTCTTTTCTACTCTCTTCTTCCTTCTTCTTCCTCCTCTTTCCTCTGCCTTGTTTTTGTTGTATTTATTTATTAAATTTTTTTTGGGGGGGGGCTCTTCTTTGTACTTTTTCTTCTTCCTGGTTTTGTATATTCTGCATGCAGTGTGTTTGGCGTAGTTATGCGGCTGATGAGAACTCGGTTTCCATTGCTACCTGGAAGCCTCACTTGAAGGCGTTGCATACCTGCAGCCCTACAAAGTAGGTACAACTATGGCAGCTGGTGTCTGTATTTGGTGTCTGTGCCACAATCTTCTTTTATACTTTATACTTGTTTAAATGTATCGGCTTTTCTCTCTTTATTGAAAATACAAATGCACTGATTTTATCATTTCTTGTGAGAAATTGGTTCACAGCCATCAAAAAGACTGATTTCCAGGCTCACTTAATCTCAGTTTGCTTGAATTAACAAAAATTGCTGACTTCTAAGACATCTTTAAACAACCCTTCATTTTTGCTGCTATTATATAGATGGACATTTTATCCCTGCACTGCATTCACACTGAGGCAGGCTCTCTGTGTTTGACCTAAGACAGTGTTGAGTGCTCAATGGTCCAGGGACTGATATCACTTTCAGGGGCTGAGGCAGCAATTTCACCCTGCTTTCATCCTTAGTGGCATATCTATTTATGACGGCAATTGTGGCCTCAATGAGCCAATCAAGCTTTTTGGAATTTGTAACACTTAAGTCTCCTTAAATTAGGGGGCTTTGTTATCAATCATACAAGAGAATACAGTATAGCTCATTATAGGCATGTTTCCCACTTCAAGTAGGCTATGTACACGCAGCAGGGGTTAGAAAACTCATTGCAATAGCAGCTTATGGATATTCCAATACAGCGGCTTCCAAGAAATGACACATGAAATCCCAGTGAGAAACAGCAGCAATAATATCACTAACCTAGACAACACTAACTTAGCTCTTCCAGCTAGTGAGAAATTAACTGTGTGTGTTCCAAACCATCAACGGACAGCGCAGGATAAAAGTAGAAAGGCCATCCTCACACAAGTAATGTAAGCATTAAAAAAGATTATGTTACATTAGCATATATGATGTTTGCCTAAACCAGACACAAGGTAACAAGGTAACACAAGGTAATATTATATGAGTAATGTCTGGATGTATTAACTTTTTCCATCTAAATATACCATACATTAAATGCGTGATGTGTTACCAGCTTCTGTTTAAAACTATCACCTCATTAATATCAATGGCTCTGACCAGATTGCTAGATGGTAGATGCTAGCTAAGTCTACACTCTCAGCTAAATGGGATGTTCCTTCTTGGGATATGGAACATTTTCCATCCATTTGTACAGTTTAAAAAACAACTTTTTTCCAAATCAAACACCTGCATGCGCTTGCATGTCACAATAATGTCAATCTGAAATCCATCTATGGAGCCTGGGAATATTGGGAAAATGTATAAAGTGTACAATTATACAGTTATAATAAACTTAATTTACAAAAAACACACTGCTTAAATTAATTAAGTAAACAGATATTCAGTTACTCAGTTCAACCTGGTCTCTTAAATTTGTGTAAAAAAACACCAACTTTAGACTTTCAAATTGCGTTCAGTACATATACCAAAGTCCAATTTTGCGTGCAGGTTATACGCAAGTCCTTCTTTTCAACTTCTGTGGATTTTGGATGTACAGGAAATGAAGAAGGTGAACTTTATCATGGTACCATGCGAAACGATCACAGTGTGGTTAGGTTTAGTCACCAAAACTACTTAGTTGGGTTTAGGAAAAGCTCATGCTGGAAGTTCAATACGGTATGTAAGTCAACCTATGTATGTACATTAAAATAGGTCAACCTTTACTTTTGGTTTCACATGGGACACGAATCACTGTCTCCTGGGTATAAGTCTTGTATTTGTGTGACCTATCCATCCGGCCCAACCTCCTCCATATATGGACTTCGACACTTTTTATATTAGTTATAGTTAGTTATTATTATAAAGAAGTCAATGGGAAGAATTGCTCTATCTCCTGCATGCAAAATTGAACTTGTGTACTTTGCACAATTTGAAAGTATAATGTTGGTTATTAATTTCGCCATTTGATATGGCTGGGCTGCTCAGTCATTATCTTCTCTTGTCGCAAGTGCTTCCTTAGTTTGCATTGACCTGCATGTTTGTAGTGAGCCTGCTATTTGTTAAATTTCTCCTGGAATGCTTATTATTGATGGATGTGTTGCTACCCTTGTGCAGCAGTTGCTGACAAAGCCTATAATGCAAAAATATTCCTATCATGCTGATTTAGAGGACCATGCAGGTTTTAGCCTTAACTACAAATCTTTGCCCACTATTTTTCAATTCCTAAAGGTCCAGGCATCCATTGATTTCCATCAATGTCTGTACAGTATTATAATCAATTACAACTCCTGTAATTGGAAGCAGGCAGACTCTTGAAGTTTGAGTTGTGCAATCCATTGTCATGAACATAAAGTCTGCATTTTGTCCATCTTAGATTATAATTGAACAGTTAAAGTGTAGATTGATTTAAAATAGATTTCGTTACCTCATAACAATAATGTAGCTGTAATGTAAAGTATTTGTGGTTTGTAGTAAATGGGCTAAAACATGCACAAGCACATGTATGGTCCTTTAAGCGCAGTGTTGACACTGAAATAAAAAGATACTTTCTAATATACTGTATCTTTTTTTCTTCCTTTCCTCATCTGTCAACTCTAGGAAGGAGCAGGGAGAGTCGACCACAAGGTTTGTGACGGCTGTTTCACTGAACTTTCACTGTCTTCCATTATGTTGTAGTTCCACAATTTAAGGGTAGGGCTGGGTATCAATCCTACGTATGTTTGCTCTTACTGCTCTTACTGGAGGTGTTCAAGGCTGTGAGTAAGGAAATGTAGACCTGCTAATGGCGAGTCTAGCTTAAAACACTGTTTTACCTTTCTGTTTGGTGCTATCGTCTGTCTATTCTTTTTTTATCTTTCTTGTTCTCCTCCACAAAACATGCATACATGCACATGCTGAGGCACTTAAATACAATCATTCACATACACACACATACACAGTCTAGTTTTTAACCACCATACTGCCTCAGATATCTATTATACTCTTATTAGAAATTATATTTTGTATCAGTCTGTTGCCAGTTTTCCTAATATCAGTGCTCCTGATGTTAGTCTTTCAGCTGATGCATTTTTAGAGTCATTAGGGGAGGACAGCATGCAGGGCAGTGAGGGCTGAGTGACGTAATATGTTGTGTTTGCAGTTATGAAACACTGAGTAAATGTTCTTTGTCTGCAAAGCACCACAACAACCTGAAGGCAGTTTTTCCTTTGAGCCTGGTGTCATATTTTAACTATAACCCATTTCAGTGGAAGCCAAAGAATGTGAAAAGTCAATGAAATAAATAACCAAATTAAGCAGATTGAAATTTTAGAGACTCAGTCTCGCCTGCACAGTGGCAACAGAATTCATCCCACACAGTCTTAAGTGTGTCTTAAGAACAAGGGAGGAGAGCTCCAGCCTCCACCTATGGGGTTTTTTTTCTTTGCAAACCCCCGACTCCCGATTTACATCTCCACTGCAGAACTGGAGAGGAGGCTGAAAGCCACAGTGGAGCTGCCTTACGTTATGTATTAGCTGGATTTATTCTTCAAAGCAATTCATCACAGAAGTGTAATGACAAAACACAGCTATACGACAAACAAAAAGGTCTGCATCTTAACCCACAAGCATCTGTCCAAAGGTTACTGGCCTCACACTGGTGACTCAGGCACTTGTTGCCACGGCCCAGCTAAATTCACATAGTCAAATGAGCGATATCGACGTGAAGTATGTGAGTCACCAAATTGCAGCCTTTTTCAAATGGTGCTGTAGATGTTCATTTTCCTCTACTAAGCTCAATTGCCTCTGTTCTGCTGCTTCCAAATGTCAGTGGTCGACAAATTGAAGTGCCAACAGACACCCTGCTATATTACGTTATACTTAGTCTTCATACATGCAGTCTTATGAAGGATCATTGCATTTACAGGTCAGGCATTCAGGTCAACGTAAAGCAACATAAAACAAGAAATTAGTAGCAAGAAGCACAAAGTAATATGGGTAAAAAAGGAAATAAGGAAGCTTTTTGTTTCCCCTCAAAAAACCTAAATCACGAGGTAAATATTTTCTCTCCTCTGTTTCTGCATCATGTAACACAACATGTGTCTATCTCCCCTTGATTTCTTTAGTAAAATTCATAGTAATAAACAGAAGCTACTGAGGAGGCGTACCACTCGGAAACATAGGTACACAGCGTTTCTGCTCCCCTGTTACATGACGTTTTTATTTGGGAATGCTGACTAATTCTTGGTGCATGGGTATCTGTAGGAGGCTGTGCAGCCACAGAGAGTGCAGAGCAATTAAATATTGCAGGGAGACATCAGTCGCCTTTACAGTGATACACTATCTGCCTTTGTTTGATCTTTGCCTGAGCAATGCGCTACTTCTGCCTGTTGTGATTTTGGTTTGAACTACATTTGCTCTCCAAATATTTATACCAGGTTTCATTCTCAGTAGCAGATCCTGTAAGATGATTAACATTTGTAAACTTTTTTCCTGACCATAGAGAGATGACTTTAGATTTTCCGTTTCCATCATTAATTTCTCTTTTCTTCAAGCAGCTCCAGGTGTTGTATCTGAACTACATATCACACTCCACTCCCAATATATCAGATACAAACTTAAACTCTATCCCTTGCGCTTGTGATGACATGTTGCTGTCACTCAAACACACATCATGTGCCTCCACAACACTACATAGGTCTAGTGATATTTTATATATTTTCTCGTCAACAAATCCAATGAAAAGACAAAAACCATGCAACGTACAGATCCTACTAAGTATTCCCATGTAGCCATAGAGCTCTATTGTCCGAAAACAGATCAATGAGCCGCTGTTGCACTGGGTGTTCCTTTATTAACAGGAACTACCACTGTAGTATATTTGCTCTTAATTCCATTGGCCCTGCTGAGTAAAGTCACTAGTGCACCAAATGTGTATTAATCCACTACCGAAAATAGTCTCTTACAAATGCACTATTTATGCCTAGTCCATAGTAATTTTCTTAAAACCTACAGTGCCCTTCATTTTCAGGAAATTACTGAGCCCTTTTAAAAAATAAAATCATATATGTGTGGCCTATTTTTTGAAGATTATCTTCTTCAGCAGGAACCAAAAAGCTGGTGCCACAGACAGAGTTGAGAGGTCAGAAAGTATTGATTTTTGGTTTTGGTCTTTTCATTAGATTAACTGACAATGAGAAAAATATAGATACAAGCCTTATTATTTGATGTAACGCAACACATGTTTAATCCAATATATGATACCACTTTTAAATGAGCCACGCCTGACGCTTGTGCACTGTCCCTGCATGCAGTCATTATACATAGCTGCATAAGCACAAATCAACCACTCCCTTACTTTCTCTACATCTCATTATCCCATTTCTTCACTTTGCGCAAGTAATCTTTGTCCTTCCATAACCTCACCCTTTCATGACCCATGGAACTCATGTTCAATAAATCCTACAGCTTTCAATGGTGATTTGTTGTAGGGTATGGTACGTAACATGTCATGCTATCAGCACAAATCATGTTATCAAGTATAATGACATTTAATTTAATATAACAATGTGCCCCTTTTAGCAACATGCTAACTAATCCGTCACATAGAAGGACAGCTGATGTACTATAGGGGGTAAAAACATGAAAACGTCAACACATCAAGGAACAAACGTGCAAACACAGTTGAGGCATCATACCTAACCCAAGCTTGCATTTAATGTAACGCACTTGCTTCAATGCTGCAATGCATGCTAGTCTTTCTCCATCTTGCCCTGCTAGTACTCCACCCTTATATTAGTGGATAAAGTTCTGAATGATGACTGCCACATAAGACCATGTAAAGGAATAGCATTTTGCCAAAAGTCTTGGGTAATTTATATAGTATCTGTCTGTCATTCCACCTCTTCACAACATCATTCCTTTCTTGTTCCTCACTCCAACTCCCCTCTGCACCTCTGTTCATCTCCCATTTCACTCCACAGTCAGAAATTGAGCTTCAAGGAGCGGGTGAGATTGGCGAGTCCCCGAGGTCAGAGCATCAAGAACAGGCAGACGTCGTCAATGAACGATCGGCGGTCTCCGGTGGCTGAGGCCGGGACAGAGGGCACCAGCCCTGCCAAGGTACAAAAGAGCTGGAGCTTCAACGACCGCACGCGCTTCAGACCCTCACTCCGCCTTAAGAGCCAGTCGCGCTCCACCACTGACGGTGAGTGACTCTGTGTTAGTGTTACACTTATCAAACAATTAAGGAGATTGAACCAAAATGCAGACTACGTAGAGGCAGAGCAGTGCAGAGGTTCAATAATTTCATCTTTTCCTGATTATAAGACAGGGACAAAGTTTATGGGATGGTGAGGCCAGCAGAGGCCAATACCAGAGAAGCAGTCACATATGGATAAAGATGGCACTAAGACAGGGGAACACGTAGACTAAATACACTATTGATGGAAAAAGACAAAGACGAGAAGTCAGACACAAGACAGGGGAAAACTACTTAGTTGGGTTTAGGAAAAGATCATGCTGGAAGTTCAATACGGTATGTAAGTCAACCTATGTACGTACATTAAAATAGGTCAACCTTTACTTTTGGTTTCACATGGGACACGAGGAAGGACTCTTTCAACATAAAACCAGAAATAACTAAACTAAAACCCCAAAACCATGACACTTAGAGGTACTAAACACATGCCTGTCTGTGATATATGCTACAGTAACAGCATAAAGACTGGAAACAGCTACAGTAGCTGCATCAGCACCTCTAAAGCTCACTAATTCACACCATACATCTTTAAAAAAAAGTGTAAAATCTAAACATGATTTTATGGGGGGGTTATGTGCTGGACTATTTCCACGGTGAGTCTGCCAGGCAATTAAATAGTGAGCTACAGCGGTGCTATTTTTTACCTTCGGACAGAAGGTAAAAAATGCTGCTGTTTCCCCATGATTCCAGTCCTGAGCTAACTGTTTTCTGGCTGTAACTTCGTATTTAACGAACTCTCTGCAAAAAAGTGAAGAATAATTTTGAACTAATCCTCTAGATAAGACTGAATCCCCCAGTTTCACTACATGTATTTAATTGAGGTGTATGGGCGACCAACCAAGCCACCACAACTGGTTTTCCCACTAATTCAGACAGCTGAGTGGAGGAATGCTAATGGTTGTTTGCACTTCCTTCCTTTGGCCTAGCAGTGCCGGCCTGGCAAGCCCTCCTGGGTAAGGTCCAGTTGGTGTTTGTGGGTGGACTGATGGATTGATGGACGGTGGGGGTGGTGAGCTCCAGCAGCCATATGGGGTGTCAGAGCCAGCCAGCTGGCTGAGCCCTGCTGGTGGAGAGGAATCAATAACCAAGCTAGCCAAAACCAAACTGGTTTGCGGGTTAGCCATGCTCCGTCTGATCATTCACTGTCACTGACATGTTGGCTAGCTCAGATGTTAGAGGATGGGGAACATTTCCCTTTCATTATGACTTAATTTGAACTGAAATAAGAAGTTATTTTAGAATCTATGTTTTTTTTTTTATCCTGGTCACTCTCTATCTTGTTAAATACTCAGTGTATCAAACACATACATTCAGCATATGCAGATCCTACATGACCTATTAAGCGATGCTTAATACAACAGAAGAAGTAGCTTGACTCTGCAGCCCAGATCTTGTACTGTAACCCTGTATTCAGCTCCTCAGGGTGCTGTAACTCAGAAATCCCATAAACAGAGCTGCATTGCATTGTTAGCTATATATCTGCAGGCACACCAGAGACCTGTTCTTTACTACTAGTCTGCTGCTCCAGACAACAGTCAAAACACTCTTTCTCTCTCTATCTATCAGAATAATCTATGTGTCTGTGTCATTCTCTCTCAGTTCAGTTCATTTGATGCCAGTTAAATTCAATGTGTGTCTGCAGGCACTATTCAGTAATCTTTGATAAAGATCCATTTAAACCCAAAACTTGGCTTTCTTTTTTTACTTGAAAAAAATTATGAATAACCCAGTTAATGCAACTAGATGTCGAGGGTGTAGATTCATTCCAACTCAAACCTTCTGTGTATTTTTCAGGTTGTTCCACCACCCCCAGCTAAGCAAAAAAAAAGATTCTATACAAACAATACAGCTTTTGATTTTGATTTTTGATCACAAAACATCACATTGTTTGGCAATAATTAGTTGCAAAATGCTGCTAAGGTTGTAATTTGCAAGTGAAACAGTGATTGGGAGAATAAAAATGTTCTACAGCCATGCAGTGAGGACTGATTATAAAATCAGATGCTTTTTTGGAGGTGGGCGGGACAAATCTGATCATTGACTGAATGTAAACTGAAGTGGGACTAATGCAACACATGTGAATGCATTGTCAGAGTGTGTGTTTTTTTTGTATTCATGTAAAATATTGTTAAGATAAGATAAGACAGACTTTATTGATCCCACACTGGGGAAATTTTCTCACTACAGCAGCTCCACATAGAACACAATAGTTAAGAAAATACACATTAGAGTTATATGTACAGTATATATAGCTTTTTATATACAGATGTGAGTGATAAGAAACATTGCACAAGTCACAGCAAGAGAAAGTGGCATGGATAAAAATATGTACAGCAGTACAGATTAGAGGAAATATAGGCTATAAATAGAGCTATGAATATACAGTAGCAGTCTAATATTAATAATGTGCGTGTAAGAAATGATATACATTTGACATGATATACTCTGTGAAGCAGCAGACTCCAACATGGCAGCGGAGGATGGCTTTGACGACAAGGGCTGTCACTGCGAGATCTCGGTGGAGGACTTGCTGCCCTCAGTCAAGTCTGTCATTAGAGCTGTCAGGTGAGGCACAGGAAATGAGACTTCCTCCTTCAACCCAACTAATGCTGTTTTTCTCTTTTGTCAAGGTTGCATGCAAACAAAGCTTGATTGCAACCCCTGCCTTCTAACAGCTCTCCTGATTGAACGTGCTCAGGGGATTAAAGTGACCGGAAGATTTTTTCTTTTTCGGATATTTTTAGATCATCTTTGCTTCATGTGATTGTTAAGAGACAGGAAACATGGTTAGGGCGAGTATTAGCACTGCAAAGCTATGTAAAGTGATCCTATCACAAGGACGGGTTGGGTCTTAGAGATGATGTGTCCTAAAAGAAACAATCAACTATCTTTCTTGGCTCTGATTGGTCGTTTTCGTTCAGGCCCGGTGGATTCTTTAGTTATTTTTCATCAAAATTACCTACTGCAGCTTTAAATACATTTAAACTATAGTTCAGCTGTTAAATTTGTTTTAAGATCAAATCTTAACAAAAGATTAGATGTAAGATTGTAAATGGCTGTAAGCTTTATATTGCAAGATTAAGTTTGACTCTCATTTATTATTAATATGACTCAACCAACATTTGTTGTAAACAAAACTTTACAACAAATGTGTATTTCTCTATGGCAGAACTGAACAACTCAAGTTATGTTTCAACATTTTGCTGTTCTTCTATGAACAGAAAAAACGAGAAGTTAGTGGGTGCTTGACTCCTAAGATCACCTGAATTCATACTCTACATTTTCAAAAACTGCATACAACCAACCAACACCATTTTGGTGTCAATTCAATGTAGTGACAAACATATATATAATATTATTCATGGATCAAACAAGTCATAGATTTTTTAATGAAGGTTAACAGGGCTGAATTATGGGAATAATATGTATGTTGGAGCATAAGGTGTAAAACTTCATATAAAGTTCATATGAAGATATTCTGGGTTAAACGGTGAGTTCACCCAAATATATTTTCTCACTTACAAAGGAGAACTTTGTTCATTTACTCAAGTAAAAGTAACAACGCCATGATGGAAATAATTAATTCCAATAAATAATTCCACCTCTGCACTTATCTCAGGTGCTATCAAGCCTTGGGGTTTATTTCTTCAATAAAAAGCAATGATGACGATATGTTGCTGTTGCATTTTTTTATGCGATTTGTTAATATGCTTAGCACACAAACCTTAAAGGGCTAGTGTGTAGGATTTAGTGGCATCTAGCAGTGAAATTACAGAGTGCAAAAGACTGATTACCACTCGCCTTCCAAGAGTGTAGGATAAACTACTGTGGCCGCAAAACTTGCAAATAACATGAAAGGACCTATCTAGAAGCAGTGTTTGTTTGTCCATTCTGGGCTAATGTAGAAACAGCGGTTCAACATGGATATCCAAAGATAAAAAGAAGAGGACTCTGTAGATAAAAAAACCTGCTAATTCTAAGGAAATGTCTGTCCTTGCTGACCCGTTCTCCTCTCCACTCAGAAACAGCTAAAATAAGCAGCCCCAACCTCACTGGATGTTTTTTTAAGTTCCAATGAAATGATTGCTCAGGTGTTCTGAGGTGTTTGCATTAGAGTAAAGGAACAGGTAGTTGGCATGCAGTTAAACATTTTGAGCACTTTTAAAAAGAAGAAAAATAAAGATACGGTTTGGTGTGTTTTTGTTTTGTTTGCCACATCAGTCTGTGAAATATCTCAGCTTAAGGAGTCACTGCAGGGTTGTGTGTACTGACTGTATAAGAGCTCCCCCTTGTGGCTGATTTATGAACCTCTCTCTGCTGCTCTCTGTGCAGGATAATGAAGTTCCATGTTGCCAAGAAGAAGTTTAAGGAGACGCTGCGTCCTTATGATGTCAAAGATGTGATTGAACAGTACTCTGCCGGTCACTTGGACATGCTGTGTCGCATCAAGAGTCTGCAGACCAGGTAGGCATGACAACAGACTGCACGACAGCAGCAGCTGACAGGATTCATTCCACTAGTCTAACCAGAGCAGTTTGACCACTGTAGCTGATTCATCTGTATCTCGGTGTGTATGTGTGAATGCATGTATGCGTGCACCTGCACTCATACCTTGTACATGCATGGGTTTATTCTTGTGTTACGCGGATGTTTGTGTATGTGTTTGTTCTTTGCATTTTGTGATTTTTGTATGTATGTGTATGCGCATGTGTACCCGTGTGTGTGTGTGTGTGTGTGTGTGTGTGTGTGTTTCCTTTGCTTCCCTCACAGGTTGGACATGATAGTAGGCCCACAGACCCTGAGCAGCCGAGCCAAGACCTTTTCCTCCCCCTCACTGCCTGTCTATTACAGCCAGGGCAGAAAGAACTCCACCCAGGGGTCAGAATGCCTGGATATGAAGTCAATTCCAAATTACTAACAAAACAATATATTGACTTTGGTTTTAGCATTCACTCTGTTTTTATCTGATATAAAGTTTTGGTGAATTCAGGGATGTTTGTGTGAATTCACAACCTGATACTAACACATAGAAACATCCTCTGTAACACACACTCGTCCACACAAAATAAATTCTCTAACAGCGGTGTACCTGCCGTTGCTGCTGTAATACTGACCCCTACTGTTGACTCAGACTGCTGCATGCACTACATCCTGTATCTTATACTCGGAGTGCCGATCAGATTTGGAAAAAAATTAAATAAATAAATAAGTAATGTCAACCAATTATTTTTTGGTTTCCAACCACATCTCAAGGGCCTCATTAACAGATTGCTTGCTCAGTTGTCATGGTGATGACATCACAGGACTGAAGTGATGTTGGGATAGATTGTAACCCGTAGCTTCTCCATGACAACTGCACAAGCTCCATCTACTTAGTAAGACTTACAGTGTGAGATGCAGATGAAAGGATGGAAAAAGATATCAATGGACCTTGAGTTAAGATTTCTGCTGTTTTTAAGGTCAAGAACAAACGTTGGCACTCTGGCGCTATATCAGCATTTGTTTTGATCTCTCTGATGGATTAATTGATAAAGAGCGATGAGGAGACTAACTTTCCTCAAATGAATACATGTAACAAACACGCTAATAAAAGTGGTAATTATGAGGGAAAAATACATGAAACAAACATAAAAGCCATATTTCCATCCATGTTTGTGCTGTACTGTACTTTACCCAACAGCTAATATTTGCATAACCATAGTGAATGGAAACACAGTCACTTGCATTTTCTTTTGCTGATTTTCTGAAAATTTTCGCTACATTTAAAGGGAAACCTGGCTAGTGTTAGCTAATCACAAAATTTCGAAATTAGTTAATTAGTTAAAACACTTTCTGTGATGTTGTATTTGTCTGGTATGAGCACATTAAGTGGCAAGACAAACTCAAATATAAAAACAAACATGCAGGGAAAGACACTTTTAGAAGCGAGTGTGGTTTTGTGTTGGAGGATCGTGTCAAAGTTTTAATCATTTATTTCTCCAAAATGTCTGTGCATGACAATAATCGCATGACGCTGCCTTGGCTTATCCCTGCCCTCTGTTGAAGTTAACCCTGTTCATTTACCAAGACTTTATTAACCAGATTCTTCAACCTCTCATTTGCCTGTATTTGTTGGAGAAAATGTGCTTATGGTAATCTATTATTCTGTTGCAGTTTCCTTCCTTTCTGTGGGCTGCCTCCTGGATTTCTACTTAGTCACTGTATTTCTCCCAATCATTAATGTGTTTGCATGTGCTTGTGTGTGTGTGTGTTCCAGAGTGGACCAGATCCTCGGTAAAGGCCAGATCCCTCTGGATAAGAAAATTCGAGAGAAGCTGCTGTCTGATGGAGATATTTTAGAGGACATGAGCATGCTGGGTCGCGTCTGTAAGGTGGAGCGACAGGTCTGTGTTCTGCTTCTTGTTTTATCTCTAATAGTATATTGAACAATCTGTCATAGCTATTTCCTTTTCTGAGAGAGCAATTTTGTCTAATCATCGAAACTTTTCCGCACATTTTATATATTGTACTTTTCACTTTCTCCTTTTATTTCTTTGCAAAAAACGCATTACAACATACATGGCAATGTTTTAGAAAAGCTCTAAAGTTAAGGCCACAACAATCCTAAAAAAAAGCCTGCGAAATCCTGGAGGAACTGATAATAGAGATAAATAAGCCAATTAATTACACTAGTGGCCTACAAAATGTAGAGTTTAGTAATATATCACCATGCTAAAAACCATAATATATCCTTTATGTGATAAGCAGGAAATGTAATTTGACTGGAATTATTTTGTACTTACTGGCTTCCAAGAGTTAGATCAGGATATGCTTAGCTTAGCTTAGCATAAAGAGTGGAAGCAGGGGGAAACAATTAGCCTGGTTGTGTTACAAGTTCCAAAATATGCCTAGCACCTTATTATGGACCAATCATTTAATGTCTATAATTTAATTATCCCGATAATTCATAATAATATAAATTTCCAATTATGGCTGATAATTATTGTGCATTCCTAATAACGTACAGTATGTTAAATTAGTAAGCTCTAGTTGTGTTGGTAGGTGTTATTTTTAACTTAAGTTAGAGTCAGGCTAACTGTTTCCCCCTGCTTCCAGTCTTTCTGCTAAGCTAGGCTAATCGCCTACCGCCTACAGCTGCATACCTACGCACACAGACCTGAGTTTGATATAGTTTTTCTCACCTCACAAAAAAAGCAAATATATTATTTACCCATATTATTTATTATGTCTGACAATTTCTGTAATGAAACCAACAATCCAACATTCACACCCACTTTTCATTTATTACACAACTATTTGTGGAACTTTGATATTGTGTCTGCCCACCCCTTATGCTGCCAGAATAATTTAGATTTTATATAGATGTAATAACTGCATACAAAACTTCTGCACAGTGGTTATAAAATATCTTCCTCCCCCACTATTTTCTTGTCTTGTTTTGTAATTACGCTCCTCACTCCGTCCTCCCTTTCTGTCCTTACAGGTCCAGTCGATTGAGTCAAAGCTCGACTCCCTGCTCGACATTTATCGTCAGGTTTTGCGCAAAGGCTCGTCTTCAGCCCTCACACTCTCCTCTCTGCCCCTGTTCGAGCTGGAGCAGACCTCAGACTACCACTCCTCTGTCTTCAGCAAGGACCTGTCCTGCTCCACCCAGGTCAGCAGCGGAGCGCCTCCCCCTGGCGGTTGCGCCACACGCTCCTCCACCAACTCCCACCTCTCCCAGGGAGGACTCCACCTCATCCTGGCGCCACCCAACGAGCTCAACCTCAATCTCAATGCCTCATCTTCCACACCTCCCTCCGGCCTTGCATCCTCCTCTTTCAGCCCGTCGCCGCTGCCTCATCACCATCATCACCACCACCACCACCATCATCACCGCCACCAACATTCCTCCTCACTGGATCCTCCTGCTCCTCCTCCTCCTCCTCCAGCTCCCTCCAGCCAGTCCAGACCTGAAGACGAGCCCCAGACCGTCCCTCAGCTCACTTCCCAGCAGGCTCCCCACCGACCCCAGTCTCTTCCTGAACCTCGATCTCCTCCTCAGCCCCGCCACCAACCCCAACCCCGGTCCCAGCAGCATCCCCAGTCTCCCAGTCAGTCCCAACCCCATCCCCGGTCCCAGCAGCATTCCCAGTCTTCCAGTCAGTCCCAACCCCAACCCCGGTCCCAGCAGCATTCCCAGTCTCCCAGTCAGTCCCAACCCCATCCCCGGTCCCAGCAGCATCCCCAGTCTCCCAGCCAGTCCCAACCCCGGTACCCTGCACCCCAACCCTCCCCTACCAGGCACGTCTCACCCCCGCCCCGGCCCCTTCAACAACCCCCACCCCAAACCCACAGTCAGTCCCAGCCCTCCTCCCAAAAAACCCAGTCACAGCCAGCCCAGCACCGGACCCAGCTTCAGACTCAGTCCACATCCATCCTGCACATTCATCCACACCCACATCCGCAAACCCAGTCCCCCACAGCACACCAACCTCAATCCCAGACCAGACACCTGTCTCAACCCCAAACCCACCTCAAACAACAATCTCAGACCCGGCAGTCACTGCAGCCTCAACTCCAACCCCAAACCAGGACCCCAACCCAACTTCAGCCTCAATCCCAGTCCAGAATCACGGCCCAACCTCAGCCTCAACTGCAGCCCAGAACCCCAGCTCAAATGCAGCCTCAAACCCAGTCCAGAACCCCTTCCCAAATTCAAACTCAGTCCAGGACCTCAGCCCAAACGCAGCCACAACCCCAGTCAAGAACCCCGGCCCAGCCTCAGCCTCACCTACAACCCAGACATCAAGCGCAGCCCCAACAGCAGACGAGGCACACATCGCAACACCAGTCTCAATACAGACCACAACCCAGACAATCTCTCTCCCAACCTAGGCCACCCCAGCCCCAGTCCCAAGCACAACCCCACTTTCAGCGAATTCAAACACAGCTGCGCACCCAATCCCAGCCCCACCCTCAGCCCGCCAGGCCCCACCTGCAGCACCTTTCATCCCACCGACCACCTCCCAGTCTGTCTAGGACCAACCTGGTCCCTGCTCAGCAGAACCAGAGCGAACAGCCCCAAGACCTTAGCACCACGCGGCCTGGCCGGGGGAGCCTGCTGCTGAGCCGAGAGGTCGGCGTGGAGGGTGTCAGGGCGGAGGGGAGGGCGGAGCCAATCACAGAGTCAGGAGGGTCAAACAGCACCTCGAGGCCTCCTGGATCTCCAGGAGTAGCCGGGTCCGGGGTCGGCCTGGTCCCCGGGGCAGACGGTAGGGCTAGGCTCCGGGCAGAGCCAGAGGCAGCAGGTGAGGGTAGGGAACTCAGAGACATCGTCCCCCAGTCCGCCGTCCCCTGCCCCAGCCGAGAGGAGACTGTAGAGTCACGGACTGTCGTCAGTGAACGAGTCAGCTGATTGGTCGGGCTGACGAACAGCTGATTGGTCGGTAGACTGACGGACTGAGTCAGCACCAAGTGGAGGAGGACTGAGACTGGGCTGTGAAGAATAGCGTCACACAGAGCTGGCTCCGTCTGGAGACTCTGTAAAGTTCTGGATTTGAGAACCAACTGGGCGCTGATGGACAGCTGGAGGACGGATAGAGTCTTTTTCTAGGAAAAACAAACAAAAAGGAAAAACCGATAAACAAGTGTGTGTGTATATATAATCAAAAGGCAGCTGTTGTGTCCCGCTAGTCTCCGTGGGGAGGGGGGGAGTAGTTTGGAACTAAACGCTTAACAACACATTACTCTGAACGAAACGTTGCTTCCGGAATATAACCTCTTTTTTTTTATTTGGTATTTTGATAGTTTGTTTTTGTCTCCGTTATACAGCTTTAAACTCTGATATTATTGACTGACAGTCCCTTACTCATCGTTGTGCTGCTGACTTACAGTCTCTTATTTAAAGTCCTGCTCTCTCTAAAACTCCTCGTTGACTGACAGTCCCTTACTGAAACTAGCCCTCGACTGAAAGCACTCAGAGGTGATGTGGCGGTTTGCACCTTTAACTGGTTTCTTAGAAATCTCACCGTTTTATTTCCTCCCCATTTATCTTTAAAGCAACATTATGTAAAAGTTGGTATTTGTTACTTTGCTAACAGCCAAACATCAACAAGGTGAATAATTCAAACTAACATTACTGACTAGTCCAACAGCAAGATGACCAGCTCGCCATCTGTCTGCAGACCAAGCTCTCTTTATCCAACTACTAACAGACAGAACCACATTTACTCTCTCCTTTTCTCTTCTGAGCTTCCTGAGCCTCTGACATTAGCTCTGTTCATAGAAGCTGCTGAGCCTGGTTACATTGCCCGCTCATTCTGCTCTGGTTCGGCACTACACCGGCTCCGCTCTCTGTCAGCATTCCCTGAAAACTTCCTCCTCCAGGTGGTCCAAAGCTCCTGTGCTACCAGTGTGAACACCAACAATCCCCCAGTGCTTCAAGCAGCAGTATGGCTAAGCTAACAGCAGCTACATTTAGCAGCAGTGAAGGTCTTTGCACATCAAGTCAAAATTTTTCGTATTTGATTTTTAAATCCGTCATCCGATTAAAATCATCATCATAGAAACCTTGCATACTGAAATTCACAATATGAGATGGAGTAGTCACTTAGGGCGTTTTCACACCTAAAAGTCCGGACCAAGGTCCGGACCAACGTTCGTGTTTAATTACATTGTATACATTTGATCCCGTTATTTTCGGTT